ATGTGGAATTTAAGAAACAAAACAGATACACATGGGGAAGGGAAGGAAAAATAACAGGAAACAGAGTAGGACAAACCATAAGAGATTCTTTAACTACAGGAAAGAAGCTGAAAGTTGCTACAGGGGAGGCAGGTAAGGGGATGTGGTAACTGGGTGATGGGCATTAAGGAGGGCACCTGATATAATGAGTAATGGGTGCTACATGCAACTGATGAATCACTAAATTACCTCTGAAACTAATAATATACTATATATTAATTAAATTTAATTTTTAAAAATGTAAATAAGTAAGAAAAGGACATAACTATTGATACACACAACTTGGATGAATCTCAAAAGAATCTCTGAAAAAAAATAAATTTAAAAAAGTCCATAATATGTAACTCCATCCATATAAAACCCTAGAAAATGCAAACTAATCTACAGTGAAAGAAAGCAGATCAATGAGTGCTTGAGTAGAGGCATGAGGAAACTTGCAAGTGATGGATATGTTCACAATCTTGCTTGAGAAGATACTGTATATTTTTTTTTAAAGATTTTATTTATTTATTTGACAGAGAGAGATCACAAGTAGATGGAGAGGCAGGCAGAGAGAGAGAGAGAGGAGGAAGCAGGCTCCCCGCTGAGCAGAGAGCCCGATGCGGGACTCGATCCCAGGACCCTGAGATCATGACCTTAGCCAAAGGCAGCGGCTTAACCCACTGAGCCACCCAGGCGCCCAATACTCTTCATTTTAAATAGGTTATCGCAAGTCAATTGTAATGTAATAAGGCTGTTTAAAAACGAAATAAAGCAAAAAAAATCTTAAAAAATGTAACAGGACCTATCAAACCACAAGACAGATTTAGTTTTGATAAGAAATGAATAACTATCTAAACTATAAGAAAAAATATTCTCCCAAAAAACTATGAAGAATATATTCCTTATAGACGAAGTGCAAATAAACTCCATATCAGGTTTCTAAATGCAGACCAGAGTCTGGAACGTGACAGATCAATACTTATAAAACACTAAGAAAAAAAAAATTCTCAAGAAACATCTACCCAGTTCATAAGCAAGAGTAGCAGAAATCTTTTTATTATAAAACATTCCTCTTAATTCCAGTGGTCCCCACACCATTAAAATTAAATTCATTCAATGAAGACATACAAATGGCTATCAGACACATGAAAAAATGTTCATCATCACTAGCCATCAGGGAGATTCAAATTAAAACCACATTGAGATACCACCTTACACCACTTAGAATGGCCAAAATTAGCAAGACAGGAAACAACATGTGTTGGAGGCGATGTGGAGAAAGGGGAACCCTCTTACACGGTTGGTGGGAATGCAAATTGGTGCAGCCACTTTGGAAAACAGTGTGGAGATTCCTCAGGAAATTAAAAATAGAGCTTCCCTATGACCCTGCAATTGCATTACTAGGTATTTACCCCAAAGATACAGATGTAGTGAAAAGAAGGGCCATCTGTACCGTAATGTTTATAGCAGCAATGGCCACGGTCACCAAACTGTGGAAAGAACCAAGATACCCTTCAACGGATGAATGGATAAGGAAGATGTGGTCCATATACACTATGGAGTATGATGCCTCCATCAGAAAGGATGAATACCCAACTTTTGTAGCAACATGGACGGGACTGGAAGAGATTATGCTGAGTGAAATAAGTCAAGCAGAGAGAGTCAATTATCATATGGTTTCACTTATTTGTGGAGCATAACAAATAGCATGGAGGACAAGGGGAGTTAGAGAGGAGAAGGAAGTTGAGGGAAATTGGAAGGGGAGGTGAACCATGAGAGACTATGGACTCTGAAAAACAATCTGAGGGTTCTGAAGGGGCGGGGGGTGGGAGGTTGGGGGAACCAGGTAGTGGGTATTGGAGAGGGCACGGATTGCATGGAGCACTGGGTGTGGTGCAAAAACAATGAATACTGTTATGCTGAAAATAAATTTAAAAATTTTTTAAAAAAACCTAAATTCATTCATTCATTCATCAACTGTATTGACTGTTCTGTAAGTCATTAACTCTTTTTGGAACTGTATAGATATGGGATCATGCACTGGATGCTATAAAATCATGTACCTGATAAATCTAAGTAAAACTGTCAACATTAAGGGTTATATTATTTGATTCCGGGTAAACTGCAAGGCCCCTCCTCCTTACAAGATTCAGAACGAATAAAATTATTATTGATGTAATGAACTGTCTCATGTTATCCCAGAGACTGTGAGATTAAGTTCAACCTTTGCAGCTCTGAGAACAGTGGGTAATGAGCAGGAAGGAAGGAGTGTCTCCTCCCCTCCTCTCCAAACACAGAGGATCAGAAATCATACCAAAGAATTCTGTTGTGAACTCACTGGGCCACGAAACTGGATAAAGGAAAACAGACGCCAGTGGACAAAAATGTGTCTTCCAAATCAATTCTGATACCACACTGCAAAACCCAGACATCCACAAAAATCATTTTCGGCAACGTGCCAGCTGCTGCCAAAACTTCAAGCTCCTGACTGGGCTGCAACCCCACTGCCTGCAGCCTCACCTTGGCACCCTGATTCCCAGAACTCTCACAATGCCATCAAGCGTCCAAACTATTCCCTACACTCAAGTGGCACAGAATGGTGCCTCTTCTCAATACCGATTAAAATCCCAACTCCATGAACATAGTCATTAGTGCTACTTATTTAAACCTTAAAATCCCCATCCAATAGATCAATTCACTAAGTATTTACTGAATATCCACTACAACAGATCTGCAATAGGGTTTTACATCCAAATGAATCTCCCTTCCTGGCCTAAAATGTTGGACTTCTTCCTTTTTTCCAAACAAGTATAATATATAAATATATATATAAATTCCTGCCATCTGGTGTCCAAATTTGACACTGCACTGAATAGGGACCGAGCAACCTCTATTTGGTATAGGCAAGCACTCTAGAACTAAAAAATGTTCCATGTGGTGGTATTTAAAAATCCATTTGGACTAAAGAGTTACAAGAAAAGGCCATTAATTTAAATGAATCTTAAATGAAGACTATTAACTTAAATGAAGACTGAAAGAATATGGGAAAACAGGCCTTCTCCCATCTCCAGCAAATCGAGGAAAAACTGAAATACTGAACATGAAATATCCAAAACCCATCTACACCAGCACCACCCCTGGTCAGCCTTTCAATCAATGCTGACCACACTCTTTTTTTTTTTTTTTAAGATTTTATTTATTTTTTTGTCAGAGAGAGAGAGAGAGAGAGAGAGCGCGTGAGAGTGAGCACAGGCAGATAGAGTGGCAGGCAGAGGCAGAGCGAGAAGCAGGCTCCCTGCTGAGCAAGGATCCCGATGTGGGACTCGATCCCAGGACTCTGGGATCATGACCTGAGCCGAAGGCAGCCGCTTAACCAACTGAGCCACCCAGGCGCCCCATCGCTGACCACACTCTTAAGAGCTCAGCAAAATAGAAAGGGTGCAGACTGACAACACAAACAACTGAAAAAAGGAAAACACAAACTAAGAATATAGAGACCTCTTTTAAGTTATATGGTACCTTCTCATTTTCCATAGTCCATGTACTTCAAGAACTATGATATGATAGATTCAGGGTTGGGGTTTTTTTTTTTTCATTATTTATGTAATAAGGCAAAGAGTGGTGTCCCATCAACTATAATGACTCAACTTCAAACAAGACATTACTTTTTGACTTAACAAGGAATCTTTAGAGTCTTCAGCAAAGATTTACTACAAAATAGGAAGGCTATCAGAACTAATGAGCATGTGTCTACACAGCACATGGTAAAGGCGAGGAGAAAGGAGGAGGAATCAGGGATGACTCCCCATCTCACCCCACATGCAATTACCAAGCTCAGTGGATGAATAAACTAAGTATCTCTCTATCCCCACTACCTTACCCTAGACAAAGTCACCATCACCTTTTCCTTAGGCCAGGAATGGGCAAACTACAGCCTACAGGCACATCTGGCCTGTCACCTGTTTTTGCAAGTAAAGTTTTATTGGCACACAGTCATGACCACTCATTTACATATTATCTTTGGCTATTTTCATGCTACAATGACAGAATTAAGGAGATGTGACTGGCCCACCAAGTCTAAAACATTTACCATCGGCCTCTTTACAGAGAAAGTTTGCCAAACTTGGCCTAAGTAGGCTATTTAATCCTCTAACTAGTCTCTCTACTACTCAATTAATTCCCTCTCTAAACTCCAGTCTGAGTGAAAAGTTTTAAGAACACAAATTTGATCATTCATTCTGCAAAGAAAAACCCAAATTCCTTATAAGGAATATAGATATTCTTATTCCTCTTCCAACCTCCCATCCTGCCACTACCCTTTATGTTCCAGTAATTCTATTTTAATCTCTCCAAACCCACCTTGCTTTAGCCTCTGAGCTTTCAGCATATGATATTTCTTCCAATTGGGATACTCTACCTTTCTTTAGCTAACTCCAGGTCACCCTTCAGGTTCTCTATGTAAATGTCATTTTCTCCAAGAAGCCATTCCTGACCCTTGGGCTGGAATTTGGTGGTCCTGCATTCCTCCATCACTGACCTTGTTTTTAGACTCTAACGCATTTTAACTGTCAGGCCAGATCAAGAGCCATATGAGGGCAGAGACAGGCTCTGTGCCGTTAACTACGATACTCTTGTAGCAAACAGGGACTAGTATATATGAGGTATTTATAAAATCTTGGTTCAAATTAATTTACCCTTTGCATCATGTTCTGAGAATTAAAGAACTTGTTCTCAGAGATTTATCAGAAATAATCATACCACTGTAGGCAATGAAGATAAATAAGTCGTGTATAACCATAGCAGAATACGTCGATACCAAAATCTGAAACCTAGAAACCTACAGAAAAAACTTCTGAGCCCAACTATTTACACCTTTTGCATTTCAGTATATTACTGGAGAAAACCTTGATCGTCAGAGCTTATCATTCTAGACCACACATAATAAAAATAATGAAACTAAAAAAGCATTCTCCTAATACCTGCTCTTCCCTCTCCTTTTCTTTGGTCTTACTTCTGTAGACTCTAGCAGAGGCGACATCCTGGGTTGGAATGGCAGAGATCTGATGCAGTGGCATGCTCATCCCAGCCTCCTGTCTGGTTGTCTTTTTTACTGAAGAGAGTCTCCAGTGGTAGAGTCATTTTGGGCCATCGACGTCAAGCTGAGAGGGAGGATACAAGACATAAATGAGCTAAAACACTTCAAATTTCCAACAGCGAGATTAGCATTTTTTTTTAAAGATTTATTTATTTATTTATTTGACAGACAGATCACAAGTAGGCAGAGAGGCAGGCAGAGAGAGGAAGGGAAGCAGGTTCCCTGCTGAGCAGAGAGCCCGATGCGGGGCTCGATCCCAGGACCCTAGGATGACCTGAGCCGAAGGCAGAGGCTTAACCTGCTGAGCCACCCAGGCGCCCCAGCATTTTATATTTATACTCTTACATTCATATTTGAATCAGTTACAATGTCTGACATAAATACTCGGTATCCAAAAACAACAGAAGATAAACGTTTTATGGGGGAAATTTTAACATTTTTCTCATATAATAAGATGGAAACACCTGAAAGAGGCTGTGGGTCAGGTACAGGTATAATGAGATACTAATTTTCCATTGTCCATTAGGTTTTAACCAGCAGTGTCATCCTTTATTTTAAGAATATTTCTGAAATCAAATTTTTTTTCTTGAAAAGGCATTCATTCTGACTGAAGTAGTCATCTTTCCTTAAAACCACTGCCCTAGAATCCACATAATGGTAGGATTAAAGGTTAAAAACTCTAGAATAAATTTAAAAGATCTATGATCTCTGCTTAACCTTCTGAAAGTCTAGACTGTCTAGACCAGTTGTCGGCAAACTTTTCCTACAAAGGGCCAGAGAGTAAATACTTTAGGCATTGTGGGCCATATATTTTTTTCTTAATTACTCAGTTCTGCTGTTGTAGCATGAAAGCAGCCACAGTAAGTGTGTAAATGAATGAGAACGGTTATGTTCCAGTAAAACTTTACTTACAAAAACAGATGGTAGGCTAGATTTGGCCCATAGCCTATAGTGCTAATCCTGTTCTAAGGAATTTTCCAGGGAAGAAGAATGTCATCAGGAATATTCCTGGGATCTTGAAAAGGCTCCCTTAGGTAAAATAATAGTTTCTAAGGCCAATGATTCCAGGCACACCTGTCTTTTTTCTGGTTCTCTTCTACATTCCTCCAAAGTACCTGGTAACTGAATTGTATGTTTTCCATCCCCCCGACACTGTCCCCACTGAAATTTATCAAACTCTGTATGTAAAACCAATTATATATCCAAATTATCCATTAACTTTAATGTAGTAATGTTTCATGCTATTTGAATTTTAACAAAGGATGGAAGCATTAAACCAAACAATGAATCTCTGATTTGGGGATTTTCACTTAACTAACCATGCATTGGAGGGTGGGACAACAGGCAGGGAGCGTAAACAACAGGGCTTGACAACTCTGAGGTCATATTTGATGAGTAGCCATTTATTCTACCCAAGCCTAAGGTCATATCTGAAGGGCAGCCAATTATTCCACCTCTCCCCAAACTCTGCTCTGTGTTTGTGTGGTTGGTCCCATCCCTGACAGTGTTACTAACCAAACCAATGAGCAACAGAACTCACAGAATTAATTTCTTTCACCAGATTCTCTGATCAAAAAGCAACAAGAAGGAATAAAAACTGGAAGGGATCAACACTATGAGAAAATGAACAAAAAGAATATTGTTCTTAAAAGTCTAGTGTTGGGGTGCCTGGGTGGCTCCGTGGGTTAAAGCCTCTGCCTTCGGCTCGGGTCATGATCCCAGGGTCTGAAGATCGAGCCCCATATCGGGCTCTCTGCTTAGAGGGAAGCCTGCTTCCTCCTCTCTCTCTGCCTGCCTCTCTCTGTCTACTTGTAATCTCTGTCTGTCCAATAAATAAAATCTTCAAAAAAAAAACCACTTTAAAAGTCTAGTGTTATAATAGCTGGGTGATCACTGATAACCAATAAAACAGGGAAATACAGGTGATATTAATGTCTACATATTACAATCAATAATTAATGAAATGTTAGTGTCCACATACTATACATTACCTACTCTATCTTAAGCCTTTGATGTGGCAAACACAAGATGTAACACTGTACCCAGCAAATGGTCTGGATATTTATGTTCGCATCACAGAAAGTAAGAGGCACTTACTGCTGAGTTGTCTTATACTGTCTGGGTGGTCACAATAGTCACTGGAGAGCAGTTTTTTCATCACTCATGCATCAGAGTTCTCTGTCACAGATGGCAAACCCCATGTGGCCTCTCGGAATACTTACTCAAAATAACCATGTCCACAGCCCCTACTACATATCATATCAATAGCTGTCTTTGGTGCTTCTAGTATAATAATCATTATTACATCATCGTACATGACCATGACAAGCCTGAAGAGGACTATTTATGCCAGAGAGACACAAATGTGAGAATAGGTTTTAAATATTTTGTAGAATTTTGAAGGTCCTCCCCTCGTTACGGTCATTTAAGCTACTCTTCTGATACGAACCCCTATCTCCAAGTAACAGTCCTAAAAGTCTGCCTGAAGCAATTCCTCTCCTATGCCATATTTAGGACAAAAATGATAATGTTAAGGGGCGCCTGGGTGGCTCAGTGGGTTAAGCCTCTGCCTTTAGTTCAGGTCATAATCCCAGAGTCCTGAGATCCGGTCTTGCATTGGGATCTCTGCTCAGCAGGGAGCCTGCTTCCCCAACCCACCCACCCCCGCCCCCGCCTGCCTCTCTACCTACTTGTGATCTCTCTCACTGTCAAATAAATAAATAAATAAATCTTTATTTTAAAAATGATAATGTTAAAAACCAAAATGCAAAACAGATCATGCCACTTTCTGTGTGAAGGCTCATGGGAAAAGCATAAAGCAGGTATTACTTGTACTATTTTCTTTGCATGATTACCAAATACCCATTTTATATCAATTCATCTGTAATGAAGAGCAATAATTAATTGCTTAATTATTAAGCAATAATTAACCCTCTGCACTATGCCTGACAATCCAGGCATGAGGACTTCAATTTCTACTGCTAAAAATATAGCACAACTGATAGGAACATCCGTATCTAGAAGAAATGGACAAACTGGGTGTTTAAGAATAAGGAAACGGGGGCACCTGGCTGGCTCAGTTGGTGGAGTACGCAACTCTTGATCAAACTTAATCAAACTCATGGCCATGAGTTTGAGGCCCACGTTGCATGTAGAGATTAGTTTAAAAACATCTTAAAAAATGGGGCAGGGGGTAATATGGAAAGAAATGGATATTCCATGTCACTAGACCAGAAGACTTACTATTGTGAAGGTGGCAATTCTCCCAAAACTGATATTATACACATAAAGCAACCCTTATCAAAAATCCAGCAGACTTCTAGGCAGAAATTAGACAAGCTGATCCTAGAATTCGCATAGAAAGTAGAGGAACCCAGGATATTCAAACAATCTTGAAGAACAAAGTTGGATAACTCACACTTCCCAGTTTCAAAACTTACTACAAAGGAATAGTAACCAAGACAGCATCAAATCGGAGTATGGGTAGATATATAGATTAACAGAACAGAACTCAGAGTCAAAAAATAAGCCCATGTATCTATACCTATGGTCAATTGGTTTTTCAACGAGGGTTCCAAGATTATTCAATGGGAGAAAGAACAGTCTGTTCCATATGCAAAAGAATGAATTTAGATTCCTATCTCACACAAATAAAAAAAAACTAAGTATCACCAAAATAAAAGTTTGTGCTTCAACAGATACCATCAAGAAAGTGAAAAGACAACCAAAGAACACAAAAAATCATTTTGCAAAACATACAATAAGGGTCTTGTGTGTTGAATATATGAAAAGGGCTGTCACAACTCAACAATAAATAGACAAATAACCCAATGAAAAAGGCGTTGTTCAAGAGACTCTAAATTATACAGATTACTAGAGGAGAGGGAGGGGGGAGGATGGATCAAATAGGTGAGGGGATTAAGGAGTGCACTTGTGGAGATAAGCACAGGGTGATGCATGGAAGTGTTGAATTACTGTATTATATAATTGAAACTAAGATAACACTGTTAACCAACTAAAATTAAAATAAAAACTTTTAAAAAGCAAAAATGGGTCATTTAACATCATTAGCCAACAGGAAAATGCAAATCAAAACCATGAGATATACTTCAATTATGACTCTATTTAAAAACAGATAAGTGTTGGGGCGCCTGGGTGGCTCAGTGGTTTAAGCCTCTGCCTTCGGCTCAGGTCATGATCTCAGGGTCCTGGGATCGAGCCCCGCATCGGGCTCTCTGCTCAGCAGGGAGCCTGCTTCCCTTCCTCTCTCTCTGCCTGCCTGTCTGCCTACTTGTGATCTCTGCCTGTCAAATAAATAAATAAAATCTTTAAAAAAAAATAAAAACACAGATAAGTGTTGACAAGGATGTGGAGAAACTGAGGTCCTCATACAGTGCTGGTGGAACTATATGCAGCTGCTTTGGAAAACAGTTTGGATCTTCCTTAAAATGTGGAAATAACCCAAATGTCCATAAATTAATAAATGGATAAATAAAACATGTTATCTATATATTGGAATACTATTTAGCAATAAAAAGGAATGATATATGAATACATGCAACATGGATGAAACTTGAAAGCATTATACAAAGTTAAAGAATAAAATATTTTATGATTACATTTGTATGAAATGTAGGCAAATCATAGAAACAGAAAGTACATTACTGATTGCCAAGGACTAGGGTAGGGCTCAGGAATGGGGGCTGATGGCTAAAAGGGTTTCTTTTTAGAGTAATAAATATGTTCTAAAATTATTATGGTCATGTTGCATAATTTTTAAAGATACCTAAAAGCCATAGAATTATAGAATTTAAATGGGTGGATTGTAATGAATGTGAATTATATCTCAATAAAGCTGCTTTTAAAAAGAATATATAAGTAATTACTATGAATTAAGATAGATAAACTGACCCCCAACTGCATGGTCAACTAATCTTTGACAAAGCAATGTGAGTTTTTCCCAATTGAAAAAAGACAGTCTCTTCAACAAATAGTGGTGGGAAAACTGGACAGCCACATGCAGAAGAATGAAACTGGACCATTTCTTTATACCACACACAAAAATAGACTCAAAGTTGATGAAAGATCTAAATGTGAGATGGGAATCCATCAAAATCCTAGAGAAGACAGGCAGCAACCTCTATGACCTTGGCCGCAGCAACTTCTTGCTAGGTAAGTCTCTAAAGGCAACTTCTTGCTAGATAAGTCTCTAAAGGCAAGAAACAAGGCAAAAATGAACTACTAGTACTTGGTCAAGATAAAAGATAAAACTACTAGTACTTGGTTAAGTATTCCTTCGGCAGAGGAAACAGTCAATAAAACCAAAAGATGATCAACAGAATGGGAGAAGATATTTTCAAATGATATTATCAGATAAAGGGCTAGTATCCAAAATCTATAAAGAACTTATCAAACTCAACACCCAAAGAACAAATAATCCAATCAAGACATGGGCAGAAGACATGAACAGACATTCTCCAAAGAAGACATCCAAATGGCCAACAGACACATGAAAAAGTGCTCAACATCACGTGGCATCAGGGAAATACAAATCAAAACCAAAGTGAGATACCACCTCACACCAGTCTGAATTTAACAAGTCAGGAAATGACACATGTTGGCAAGGAAGCAGAGAAAGGGGAACGCTCCGACACTGTTGTTGGGAATGCAAGCTGGTGCGGCCACTCTGGAAAACAGTATGGAGTTTCCTCCAAAAGTTGAAAATAGAACTACCCTACGACCCAGCAATTGCACTACTGGGTATTTACTATAAAGACACAAACACAGTAATCCGAAGGGGCACGTGCACCCGAACGTTTATAGCAGCAATGTCCACAATAGCCAAACTATGGAAACAGCCTAGATATTCACAACAGATGAGTGGATAAAGAAGATGTGGTACATATATACAATGGAATATTATGCAGCCATCAAAAACTGCAATCTTGTCATTTGCGATGACGTGGATGGAACTAGAAGCTATCATGCTAAGGAAAATAAGTCTATCAGAGAAAGACAATTATCATATGATCTCACTGATACGAGGAATTTGAGAAACAAGACAGAGGATTATAGGGGAAGAGAAAAAAATAGGAAGAGAAAAAAAATAAAATAAGACGAAATCAGAGAACCATAAGATACATCATAGGAAACAAACTGAGGGTTGCTGGAGGGGAGGGGGTTGGGGGTATGGGATAACTGGTGTGGTAATGACCATTGGGTATTTATATAAGACTGATGAATGGTTAGATGATCAGTGGACCTCTACCCCTGAAACTAATAATATATTATATGTTAATTAATTGAATTTTTTTTAAAAGATAGATAAAACTGTTTTTCTCCATGGTATCCCTATGTCATTTATCTGATGACATGGATATCATTATCTGATGATACAGGATACCACTGTTACCCGCTATTCTGTTTTGAGAAAGGTAACAGGAATAGTATAAAATCAGCAATCATAAATCTAAGTTCAAGCCTTGACTCTTGAATACTATGTGATGTTGGACACTAAGGAATTTCAAAGGCTCCGTTTCCTTCATCTATAAAACCGAAAGGTAATAATCTCTACTCCATTCAAGGGTTATTGTAAAGACCAAAGAAGATTGTGAATGTAAGGGTTGAATGTAAGCGTTCTTAACATCAGCACATTTTCCAGCCTGCTTTTTCAGGCATCTGCAATGATCCCCCTCACTGCCTCACAATGGCCAGTTTGTTTCTTTTGTCTTTCCAGTACTATTTTCTGTCTTCCTACATCTCATTCTGATGCAAGATTTACACAACTGGGAACTTCAAATCGTTTCTGACATTTATTTAGGACCTCTAGCAGCATGACTCTGAGGGGAAGCAAGGCTGACAATGCTATCCCTACAAAGGCAGAGGTAGGAAGGCCTGACGGTAAAGATGATCAGCGTGGTGTAACAATCACACTATCCTATGTGCTTTCCAAATGGTCAAGATAAACGAAAGAGTCTACCCATTCCAACGATGATGCTCAGGACAAATACAGACAACAAAGATGCAGCCAGGAAAAGACAAAGATGCCAGTCGCAGCCTCCCTGAGGGACAGTCACTACAGGTCTATGTGCCTCCCTGCACCCCTCCCTACAGGGTGCCAGGCTCCAGGAGCAGCCTGCTCCTACGCTTTGTGTGGTGTTGAATTGTAACATCCTGAATGGCACTCAGAATAAACAACTTTAAGTTAAGCCTGTTTTTATCAGAAGCACAT